TTTTTCCAATGCCCAGAGAATTTCTGCCCAGAGCATGGATCCCACACAGCATCCATTTGAGGGGTTTCTTCCATTTGCTTAAGAATATGTTGTATTTTCCCCGGTTTGTTTCAAAGGGAATTTATCACTACTGGACATCTTTTCTCATATTTCCAGTCGAAAAACCAAATGGACTATTTTTTCTTGCAAAATCCCAACTCCCTTTTTGGGTTGCGTGCTGGTTCGCTGGGTTCGGGAATTCCCATGGCTGAGGCTGTTCTGACCTGATGTTCGAGATGCTCGTTGACTTCAGCGACTTCCTCCGCAGGCGTCCGGGCGGTTGCGCGCCGCAAAAAAAGTAATTGAGAATGCGAATAATACGAAGAGTAACAACAATAACAATCATAATAGTAATAGTAATAGTAGTAATAGTAATAATAGTACTAGTACTAATGATAATAACAATAATATTAATAGTAATAATGATAATAATAAGAAGTTTTGTTGGTGAAGCGAGGGGCTGGAAGTTCCACATGTTTTTGGTCGACTTGCGGGCGGTTTTCTATCAGTTCAGTGGACAGAAAGGGCAGAGGTCGGACTTCTTTTGAGGGCTCGGGGCCTGAAGCGGTGCCTTGTTGATGGAAGGGTCCAGTTTCCGTCTGGGGAAGAGATGTGCAAAGCAGCCGCCGCAGTCTCATGTCGTTTTTAGAGGTCTTCCGGAAGCCTGGAGAAGTTGCAACGAGCTCACCTGGAACGCAAGATGAAGGTTCAACAATTCACAGTCATCGTTGCCTTTCCCCCAAACGAGGGTTTTTTGAATCCCTATCCTGTTGCTTGGTGGGGTCCCCTAGTGTTGTGACCCGTCTATGAGCACTTGGCCAGAGGTAGAACCATGGAAAGGGAGATGCCATGGTTACCGAGCGCTGTCTAAAGTTTCCTGCAGTAGGAAGAAGAGACAACAGGCAACAGCCGAGTGGAGCCTCCAGAAACATAGATCACTACCCCCTGCCCTTGGCACCATTCCGCAGAGGCACAACGTCACCTTCATGGTGTCCGAGGGCACCCTCCTGGGCGCCGTGCGGGATCAGGCAGGAGCAGGGAACCGAGGCGGGGGGTTGTTTGAAAAGTCCAGGTTTCCACAATTTCCGATTTTTTGGAGGCGAGGCTCCAACAGTGGCGGTTTCACTGGAAACCACAAGCAAATCACAAGTGTTGAAGGGCAAATCCACGGACCTCCGTAGTTGTCTTGCAGCCTCCCCGTTTGCAAGAAGCCCCCAACCTGCGTTTGGTTTGGATCTAAATCAAAGGCTTTCTTTCCGCGCCATGGATTGGCTCCCCTTTTCCTTTCGCGGGGGAAAGCTTCCATCAGTGCCCCTCTGGAAGCCCTCATTGAACAGGGGCCATTTCCATCATGGAAGCGGAAGACCCGCGTGTTTTGGAGTTTCCGGTTGAAATGGCCCCAAGCGTACCGTTAGGTTCCAATCATTTGCCACAACAAAATCAGACACGTAGGATTGTGGGGAACAAGGAAAAGCCACGCGAGGACATCATCCCCTACACCGCCGACCTGGACATCTTCGTGCCTCGGGAAGGCGAGGGTCGATCGGTTTTCAGGCGTGGAGAGGTTTTCATGCACAAGGTGCGGTGCCTGGAGCATTGCCAGACTGTTGCCGAGCCCTTTGGCCCTTTGGCTCTATTGGGCTTCCTTGGTTTTGCTATACTTTTTTGGCAGAGGCTCGAAGTCTGGCCATGTCAAGCAAGTCGCCACGAAGCGCGCACACACACACACACACACCGCAGTAAACTGAGGATCTTCCTTATATCCACTTCTTGCACCCTTTTTCCGATGGGGCCTGGTTCAAAAGCAACGGTTCAAGCTCCTTCGGAATGTTTTTGGCTGGTTCTCTGTGCAGGGAGTGGAGGAACGATCTTGAGAGACCGCCCCCCCCCCAACAAATTGGTTCCGTAGGTTCATTCCCCAAATCCTTGCTTCTCCCTCTTCGTGCAGCAACCAGTCCTTTGCGAGCCTGTGATTTGCTTCTCTTTGATTCTTGCCCCAGGCCCTTACAGTCTGCAAAATGCAAAAGAAACCATGTCTCAAGTTGGACCTTTTCGGTAGAGCTGAGCCCAATGAGTCAACCCCAGTTTATTCATAGGGTGGTTTTTGGCCCCTCCAAACGTGGTCTGATTCCCCACATTTCACCCAGGGAAAAGCACTCCCCCTACGATGAACAGGTTGGTTGATTAACAGGGTCAATATTAAGGGGTCAACATATGGGGTTCAACATCCTGTTCATTTTTTTTTTAAATTTTACCAACCTTTTTTTGGGTGTTGGGTTCCCTTACTAAAACATGCTTACAGGGAAAAACAATAACAAAAACGCCGGGTACCAAGTTACTCTAACCTCTCAAATCTGGAGGACCTAGACAGGTTGGTTGGGTCAAACAGCCCCCCCCCAATAAAGCGCGATGGGGTCAACCTGTGCGCCTGAGGTTGGGAGAAGGCGATGCTCATCAACGAGGAACGAGCCGTGGGGGTTTTGGGTGACGTGTGGGGCGTGCGAGGAAAAAGATCTAGAGGGGTACAAGCCGCGATTTCTCCCATGTGGGTGATGTACTTGGGGAGTCCTTTTTTTTCTCTCTCCCTCTCTCTCAGGTTTTGGACATACAATCATTGGTTTGGGCCCATTTTAACGCCGTGTTTTGATGGTCACCACAAGCAGAAGTCACACAGTTACTTTGCGCGCAAGTGTGCGGTGCTTCTCTTGGACTTCTCGGAAGGCTGTTTCTACCCACTAGCTCACTTGTTGATCCCTGTGTCTAAGTGATACACCGATGGAAGAATCCTCTTGTGAACTTGCTGCAGACTGGGAGACTCGCAGGAGGAGCCCAAAGCCAAGTCCTATCACTTCATGGTGGCCGGGAACCTCAGCCGCGCTTTTACAGGGAGGTTCACCTCCTTGGTTGGATTTTTCTTGGTTCCGCGTGTGAAACAACATGTTCGCCCTTTGAGCCATGTGCGCACGAACCTTAAAGTTCCCTTTGGCTTGGGGCTTTCACCACCTTGAGCATAGGTGTCCTTTTTGGTGGTTTTGGTTGAAACATAGATGGCGATTCCTGGTGTACCTGGTGGTTTCATTTCACCTACCAGGGAATCCCATCTATTTCCCCTAAAAGGACGCCTATGACCTTGAGGGTCCCATGGTCACCCCCCCGGCTCAAAGACAAAAAGGATCTCAAGGTCGCCGGGTGTGGCCCACAACACGCACCGAGGACCCTGACCAACCTCATTGTGCTCGGCTTTGCGCTGTGCCCGGCACCCGCGTCGGAATCGGTCTGGCCGGCGTTTTTCGTTGGTGGGTGTTCTGGGGGTTGGTGTCAAAATCCATACCGGGCTGGGTGGATGTTGGTGTCAAAATCCAGACCGGGCAGGGTGGATCCAAATGTCTGATTCGTATGACGGGCATTCCCAGGCATGGGGTTTGGAATGGCGGCTACGCCACCAACATCAGCTTGACCCGCAGCATGTGCCCTTTTTCCAAGTGAGAACCTCCGCAACTCCAGCAAACTCAAGGCGGCTGCCCTCTAGTGGGAATCCTTGACTGTGGGACACTCACTAGGCCCTAGTAGGATGAGTTTCCGAATCTGGGCTTCCCAGTAAATGTCAAACACGAAAATCTTCGGACCCCGGCCTTTTCCCCGCACAAGAACCATGTGGTTTTCCTTTTGATCCCCCTTTCCCGCAAGAAGGGGGTTCCCACTCAAAAACAGAGACAGCCAACATGGCTCCCTTTGTCCACTTGGGTCACTGGCCGGGCTGCGGGCATCCTCGATCCGAGGTGGGAGGGCTTCCCGGTGAATCGGGCGGCGGCCCAAGCGGGAAGCGGGAAAGGAGAAGGGGAGGAGGGGAGGAGGGCTCAATTTTTTCTTTGGCTTTTTAAGTTTGAGGCACCTTTTCTTCTTTTTTGGGGGGTATTTTGAAAGGGAAAGCCACGATTTGGGCTCATTTTTTTGTTTGGGCTTTTTGAGTTTGAGGGCACCTTTTCATGTTTTGTTGGGACACATTTTTCCAATTTTTGCTGATTGTGGTTTAGTGGTTGAAATCCAACTACTGAACTGCTAAAAGTTAAATTTTTTGCTCCCCTTTCAACATCAACCAAGTTTTTTGGGGCATTTGAAAGAGAAAGCCACGATTTGTTGGGCCCCCTTTTTGGACTTAAGACACTCCACGCAATAGGGCTTCAGACTGTTTTGGGGAGATCAATTTACTTGGACACAACGCTTTTTGTGCGACCAATCCGTTCAGAAAAGTGGGGGGGGGGAGGGCCAGTGATTACAATCTGCTCAGAGCTTCGTTCCGGGTTTCTTCCATGAAATCCTCAACCGATGTCAGGCCGCCAAATCCAACTCTCGCGTTCAGCGACTGCCCGTTGCAAGATAGGCTGCCCACATGTGAAGAGGTGCCACGGCATGCAAGGAAAAGACACACCTGACCAAGTGCGCAAGCACAATGCAAATGATCATGACATTTGCACCTGTTTTGTGCTCCAGCTGCTCCTGAACCGTAAAAAATGTGGTCCCCCTTTTCTTTGTGAGTTTCGCTTTGGCAGACCTTTAAATACCAACTTAAAGTGGGTCACCATTTGGAGAAGCACCCAGGTCAAGAAACATGCCTGTCTCTTTCTTTCTTTCTTTCTTTCTTTCTTTCTTTCTTTCTTTCTTTCTTTCTTTCTTTTCTTCCTTCTTTCTTGCTTTCTGTCTTTGCTTTGCTTTGGTTCGGTTTGTCGCACGACTAGGGATGCGAGGCGTTCACTAGGACTTTGGTGAGTCGGAGGCCAAATGGACTTCCATTTGCTGAAAGGAATATGTTGTATTTTTCCCTTGTTGGTTTGAAAGGAATCGATTTCACCTCCTGATTTTTCATTTTTCCAAGGGGACTCAAGCAAATGGAAGTGGAGCATGACGACGCTGGTGGCTTTTGCTTGAGCCGCAAAGACCAAACAACGCGGCATGGATTTGGCGCTCAAGTTGCCATCCTTCCTTCCGAGCCTTCAGCAATGGCGTTCTGCACATACGAGGCAACCTTCATCTCGGTCAAGGAGCCGAAGCCGGGCAAGTTTCCGCGCTCCAAGAGCGCAGGGGCCAATGTGCCGCGACCACCTTGCCCTGTGACATCCTATGTGGAGAGCTTGGAGAAGCGAGCCTCGGCCTTGACTTTTCTGGAACCTCAGGTTGGGTCAGCGGGCAGCTCGGGCCACCCCGAGCTTTGCTTCAAGCCCTGCCTGTACCTGGCCTACGGTTCGTGTCCCAGTGGCACATCATGCAACTTCTGCCACTTGCCACACCCAAACCGAGCCAAGTACGGAAGGGACCGCGAGCTGCTCAGGCAGTTAAGCGAGGCTGATCTTTTGGGATTGATACTCCCACACCTTCGTGCTAAGATCCTTGGCGCTTGATAGGCTTGGAGTCTTTTGGGGTAGGAGGCATGGGGCTTGTGCATGCCGAGCTTTTGGTCGGAGTTCGCTTTTCAGATCAGTAAGGAAGATCCAGGGCGCAGATCATTTGCTGGACCTCATGGAGGCTCACCTGGCATCCCTCCCCGCCGCTCCTTCGCAGATTCGCCCTTCGCAGATTCGGGGGCTTGCAAATGTCGGTGGACGCCTGGGGAGGCACGGCTCGGGGGTGGAAAGCCTGGAGTCTTTCAACGGGCTCCTTAAAAGATGCATTTTGCAAGCATTTGAAACATGGCTTTTTCAACACCAAAATAGAGGGAAACCACCATTTACAAGTTACAATGTTCAGGTGTATAATGTAAGGATTCCTGTTGCAACACTTTGGTTTGGGGTTTACCCTTCATTTTCCCTGGCTGTGGGCAATGGATGGGTTTCAGGCCACTTTCCGTGATACCAAGGGAATCCCCTTTTGAAGCGATAAAGTAGTCTTGGGCATGGCCCTCGGTATCCCTTCGCAGGCTCGGCTTTCGCCAGCTCGTGCTCCTCGCCTTGCGTGGACCTGGAGTGCCCGGAGTGCAGGCGGCTTTGGCCGCGCTGAAGCCGGAAGTGGCCAGCGGCGTTTGACGATGTGAGAGTGAGTCGGTGAAGAAGGAGTTTGCAAGCGGCCTCCACGCCCGGAACAAACCACCCAAAGCAAAGCAACTTGTGTCTTATGGGATCCAACAAAAAGGGCTTCCATGCTGTCTCCGTCACATTTCATGTGCGTCGCTGATTGATACCCTCTCCAGCATAAAGGGCCAATTTGTTCGCGGGTGGTAGGGGGTGATAGCGCTAAAGCGCACCTCGAGGCCTCATTGCATGACAGGCGTGGAGCGTTGAGCTTGTGTCGCCTGAGCCAACAACCGCCGCGCTCTGTTTGATCATGTTGGAACAGAACTTATGAGACATCATGCAAAGACTGATTTTGCTCGTGCTCAGCAGGGAATGAGGGAGTGACCCGTGGTTTCCTTAATTCGGGAATCCCCTTCCGGTTCATTCCCTCATTCCCTACCTATTCACACCAGCAAGGATTTCTTGCTTCCAAAATTGGAGTATGTTGATTTTGTCGAGCGGTTTGTCTATAGTACCTGGGCCTGAGCCCGCAGCCCGGTCATTTCAGAGCGCTTCTCAAAATGCAGAGCTCCTAAAAGATGATACCCTTCCTCCAACTCACATGGCCCCTGTGGGAGGATACCTGGAAGATCAATCTACTCTCCAAGGGGAACCCCTTTGTCAGAAGCCATGTTAGTGGAAGGGAGGGTAGTTTTTTTTTTCAGCATTATTGAAGTCTCTTTGCCATCCGACTCACCAAACTCCTTATGAACGCCTTGCATCCCAAGTCGCTTAGTGTTAGTTTTCTTTGGGCTCGCTTTTGGGCTTCGGGAAACCCGGGGTCCGAACATTTTGGAGAAGCCGGTAGGCACGGAAAGCACAGTGCTGGCAGTCCAAGAGTGCCTGGACCGAGTTCGTGGGCTGACCTATTGGCCCCATTGGGTGCAGCGGGGTGGCCGTTTCATCTTGAAGCCCCACAACGCAGGCAGGGTTCTTAGAAGGGTTTGAGAACCATTCTGGAGGGTAGGCTCCCTTGGCTCAGGGAGTGCTCCACCCAGTGCCGAAGTGCGCGAGACACCCAAGCGGCCATAGCCAAATTCAAGTGATCCCCGGCGGGGCTTGGAGAACTACACTTTTTTCTTGGGGCGTCCTCTATTTTGACCAGTCACGGTCCGAGTGTCAGAAGCACATTCGGCGGCACTAGAACGTACTCGCAAGGGCTGCGGGTGATTCTTATTCGGTGAGACGCCCAAAAAGCCTGCGTGAGACAGTCCGGCAGCCCGCTTTTCCGGGGCTTGGAGGGCAACGGCGTGAGGTCCCTGCTAGCACCACAACTGCTGCCAATACTCAATTACTACCACCAGAGCTACTACTAGTGCTGCTACTGCTTCTGGTACTGCTACTACTGCTACCACCACTATTACTACTCCCCCTCCTGCAGCTGCTGCTACGGCTGCAACTACAAACAACTACTACCACAACTCCTTTTACAACAATAACAACAACACAGGCAGCAGCAGCAGCAGCAGCAGCAGCAGCAGCAGCAGCAGCAGCAGCAGCAGCAGCAGCAGCAGCAGCAGCAGCAGCAGCAGCAGCAGCAGCAGCAGCAGCAGCAGCAGCAGCAGCAGCAGCAGCAGCAGCAGCAGCAGCAGCAGCAACAAACAACAGCAGCAGCAGCAACAGCAACAACAGCAGCAGCAGCAACAACGACGACGACGACGACAACGACAACGACAACGACAACGACAGCGACAGTGACAGTGACAGTGACAGCGACAACGACAACGACAACAACGACAACAACGACAACAACGACAACAACGACAACAACGACAACAACGACAACAACGACAACAACGACAACGAAGACAACGAAGACAACGAAGAAACAAACAAGCAGACAGACAGACAGGCAGACAGACAGTAGCCCTGCAGTGCGGAAGCATGTACGTTCGCTGCATGACAGTTGCAGAGTGATTATAACGTGCCATGCATGCCCCTATTTGCCCTTGTGTAGCCTTTTGCCGCTGACATTTACGCATAGACCCCACACATACCCATGTGTTTCTTGGCGCCTCAGTTGTTCGCTCAGGTAATGCCGACCCCAGATTGGTGGATACAGGCCCTAAGTGTCCCTCATCCGGGGGGGAGGTTCCTCTCCAGAAGTGACGGATGGTCTTTGAATTGTGACGCACTATTGATTAACAAAAGTGGGCCTGGGGTGCCAAGTTGCTCTTTTAAAGCGGGCTCCATCGCTCCATAGCAAGCCGAAGTCTTAGCCTTGAGGCTCCCTTCGATGAGCACTTTGAATGGGATACGGAGAAGGTTGGCAGGCGACTGAGTCTCTCTGGTGGGAGGGAGGGCTTGGCCACTTGGCCGCCGCCCATTCAGAGATACCCCCATTGCCAGACTTGGCTTGCCGCTTTGACTGAAAGCCGCCTTTTCCGCCACTTTCCCACTAGCTACTTCCCTTTCAGCCAGCACTTCTTGCCAGTCACAGCTTGCCACTCACTTTGACCGGCCCCTTTCTTGAAAGTAGATGGAACAGTCCGGTTGTGGGTAAAGCGGGTGACATGCGCCAAGAATGAGCCTTTTGTCCTCCCAATGGCACGGAAATGGTGTCCCACAACCAGAAGTTACTCTTGCACCAGCAAACATGGCATCGATCGAAACGTGCATCCTTGATGGCTGTGGATCTAAGTCTGTTTGAACGTAGAGCTTGAATTTGGGCACATGGTAAAGAGCTCCTTTCCGGGTAAATTTGAGCATATGGCCTGAACCTCGGAAAATTGCACTCCTACTTTGTCGCAGAAGGGGGCAACCATGTTCCGCCATGTTCCACCACAGGTTGTGAATGATATGTCGAACCCAAGTGCGGGTCCCCCAAGCCCAGCAAGGAACCGCCAAGCTTCTAGGGGTTGATCCCCCACTCTTCTCAGCCATCGTTCTTGTCAAACACCGATCGCCATTTCTTTTCCAGGGTTTTCGGTGGTTTCCAGAAAGATTCTGGAAAAACCGATCGCCATTTCCTTTCCCGTTTTTTTTTTTTTTTTTTTCTCTCGGTGGTTTCCCGTTTTTCCCGGTGGTTTCCAGAAAGAGTCGGATCCCCGGGACAAAACGGGCCAGTTCCCCCAGCCTTCGCCCCACGCCTTCGCAACACGCCTCCGGGGCTCGGGGGCCCGAGCTGAGGCAACGACCTCGCCTACTACATGGACATCTACGACGAAGGCCGGAGCATCGCCCCGGTCGCCGGGCGCAGGCTGCGACCGGACCGGACGTTCAGGTGTCTTTTTTTGGGTCTGATTGAGATGTTCAGGGGTTCTTCAACTAGGTTTGGGGGCTGCTGATTCATTGTCTTTTTTTTGGGGGGGGGGTTATTGAGATGGGTTCTCCAACTGGGTTTGGGGGTTGCTGATTCATTTTTTTTTGGGGAGGGGGTTGGTTGGTTGGTTGGTTGGTTGGTTGGTTGGTTGGTTGGTTGGTTGGTTGGTCAGCTGGGCGGCCGCATCCCCAGCATGCCCAGCATTTCCGGTTTCTTGTCACGGCTGCGTATGGGGCATGACTTGATGCTCGGGATAGCGCATCGCCAGCATTACTGGCCTCACTCGGACGAGAGCTGCCTATTGGCTTTGGTTTGGTGGCAGTTCAGGGTTGATCGGGGCTGGTTTGGGGTGAGTGCTGGGCTTGCTGAGATATTAATGCGGGCGGGTCTTGGGTTTGTTTAGGGTTCATTTAGCCTCGGCAAAGGGCCGATATGCAGGATGCGGTTGGGAGGGTTTCAGGTTGACTTTGGGTCGGTTTTGGCTTGGTTGGGGCTGATTCGTGCTAGATGTGCGGCTGGTTTAGCCGTGGCTTTCGGGTTGCTTCAGGGATGTGGTTCTGCAAGTTTTGTGGGCCAGGATTGGTTGTGGGGCGTTGCCCCAAACCACCAATCCTAGCCCAAAACTTGCAGAACCACATCCCTGAAGCAACCCGAAAGCCACGGCTAAACCAGCCGCACATCTAGCACGAATCAGCCCCAACCAAGCCAAAACCGACCCAAAGTCAACCTGAAACCCTCCCAACCGCATCCTGCATATCGGCCCTTTGCCGAGGCTAAATGAACCCTAAACAAACCCAAGACCCGCCCTCATGAATATCTCAGCAAGCCCAGCACTCACCCCAAACCAGCCCCGATCAACCCTGAACTGCCACCAAACCAAAGCCAATAGGCAGCTCGCGTCCGAGTGAGGCCAGTAATGCTGGCGATGCGCTATCCCGAGCATCAAGTCATGCCCCATACGCAGCCGTGACAAGAAACCGGAAATGCTGGGCATGCTGGCGATGCGGCCACCAACCCCCAGCTTGTGCCGAGCCGGGGCTAGTAAAAAGCCGGGGCTAGTAAAAAAAAAACACCTCAACCGTTATTGAGATGGGTTCTCCAACTAGGTTTGGGGGTTGCTGATTCATTTTTTTATTTTTTTTTGGGGGGGGGGGGGTTATTGAGATGGGTTCTCCAACTAGGTTTCGGGGTTGCTGATTCATGTTTTATTTTTATTTATTTTTTTTTGGGGGGGGGGTTATTGAGATGGGTTCTCCAACTAGGTTTGGGGGTTGCTGATTCATGTTTTTTTTGGGGGGGGGGGGGTTATTAGTAATTCAAAAAAAGGTTTGGGGTTGCTGATTCACCTCCAACTACTGATTCGTTATTGAGATGGGTTCTCCAACTAGGTTTGGGGGTTGCTGATTCATTTTTTTATTTTTTTTTGGGGGGGGGGGGGTTATTGAGATGGGTTCTCCAAAGGTTTGGGGGTTGCCTGAGATGGGTTCTCCAACTAGGTTTGGGGGTTGCTGATTCATGTTTTTTTTTTTTTTATTGATGGGATTCATGTTTTGAGATGGGTTCTCCAACTAGGTTTGGGGGTTGCTCATTCTTTTTTTTTTGGGGGGGGGGGGTTATTGAGATGGGTTCTCCAACTAGGTTTGGGGGTTGCTCATTCATTGTTTTTTTTTTTTGGGGGGGGGTTATTGAGATGGGTTCTCCAACTAGGTTTGGGGGTTGCCTGATTCATTTTTTTTTTTTTTTTGGGGGTGGGGTTATTGAGATGGGTTCTCCAACTAGGTAT